GTCTATAATATTGTTAAATACTGTATAACACTGGTTTATGTAATTACTGTAAAATGGTGATGTCTATATTGTCTGGTCTATATCATGTTTGATGTTTACCTATATACGGTGACTTTTGCACTACACATTCTGCTGCTACTTGTCTATAAATACTGTAAAAACTGTAAATACTGGTCTATAATTCTGTCCACTCTACTTTTATACTCTATTGTACATTGTACTTTGTACCTTTTTTTTGTACTTTGTTTTTAATCTCTCGGACTATCAGTAAAAGGAGGAACTGCAAAGTAAGAAGTTCATTGTACAGTGTAACTGCTGTGTGCTGCGCATATGACAGTAAAACACTTGAATCTAGAATAGTCATGTTATTATTAATAAATGCATAGTCATGTTGTCAGTAAAATGCATACTCATGTTATCATAAATAAACACACTCTCATGTTATAATCAGTAATAAAAACATTCATGTTATCAGTAGTAAAAACACACTCGTGTTATCAGTAATGAACAGTCATATTATCAGTAATAAATGCATACTCATGTTATTATCAGTAATAAACACACAGTTGTGTTATCAGTAATAAACACAGTTGTGTTATTATCAGTAATAAACACACAGTTGTGTTATTATCAGTAATAAACACACTGTTGTGTTATTATCAGTAATAAACACACAGTTGTGTTATCAGTAATAAACACAGTTGTGTTATTATCAGTAATAAACACACAGTTGTGTTATCAGTAATAAACACAGTTGTGTTATTATCAGTAATAAACACACAGTTGTGTTATTATCAGTAATAAACACACAGTTGTGTTATCAGTAAAATAAGCATACTCATGTTATCAGTAATAAACACATACTTGTGTTATTATCAGTAATAAAAGCATACTCGTGATATCAGGTAATTATTTTATCAGTAATGATCTCACACTCATGTTATTATCAGGGTATTCATGTTATTAGTAATAAACGCACACTAATGCTATTACTAGAGTCATCACGTTATCAGCAGAGCTATTATAGTTAACTAAAACAAATTAAATAACGAAAACTAGAATTGAAAAAAAAAACATTTTAGTTGTCAATGTCAATGTCGAATTTATTTATATAACACTTTACAACATGCATAAAGCTGTACCAAATTGCTGTACAAGAACAACACAAATGACAAAACAGAGCAAAAAACAATACATCAATTAAATGCCAAAGAATAAAAATGAGTTTTAAGAAGCGATTTAAAATGATCCAGGMTGTGGRCAGATCTAATCTGGAAAGGTAAATTATTCCATAAAACAGGAGCAGCAACAGAAAAAGCTCGATCTCCTTTCCTCTTAAGTCAAGTTCGAGGAACTGTAAGTAATAACTGATTATTTGATCGCAGGGTTCTGGACACAGACTGGAAATTTAAAAGGTCCCGAAGATATGGGGGGGGGGGGCTAACCCATTTAAAACTTTAAAAGTTAACAAAAGAATCTTAAAATCCATTCGATAAAAGACGGGTAGCCAGTGTAAAGATGCCAGAATTGGTCATGCTTCCTGGTTCCTGTGAGAAGCCGTGCTGCTGCATTCTGGATCWTTTGAAGTCGCTGAATCTGCGATTTATCCATCCCTCTATATAAAGAGTTGCAGTAATCCAGACGAGTTGTTATGAATGCATGGATAAGTCCTTCAAAGTAGTTAACTAAAATAAACTGTAATAAAATGAAAAAACAATAACTGACTAAAACTGTTCAATCTTTTTACAAAACTAACTAAAACTAACTATAATTATAGATACAATATCCTTAGTTTTAGTGTTTGTCAATTTATTTTGAGCTTTGTGGATGTTTTTTTTTATTGAGTAGTTTCACATTAGCTGTAAGCAGCTTACGGCACCTCATGGTAACAACTGTTGTTTATAATCTGCTGCTCAGCATCATCTGCCTGACAACAACCAAAGTTGGGAGAAAGCGGCAGCATCCACTTTAAGATTTCTTTGAATATGACTGCGAGAAAAAAAAAGCATGTGTCTTGTAGTAGAAACAGGATAAAATAGGTGGAATACTTCTCAAGGGAAAAACTGCATGAATCAATCTCACGCAAGATGGTTAACTATGACTATCTTGACACGCTAGCTTCTCTCAGTAGCTCCCGTGAAAAACAAGCAGCAGGTAGCACCGGGTGGGAGACAACTATTATCATTGTCCTAAAATATTCACCCAAGTCCTTTGTTGGCAAAATTGAGTTACGCAGTTATTTTATGAAGCTGTCGCTATAATGGACTGCTTTAACTAGCGACCAAATAGCTTTTGGTTAGTGAACTCCCAGGAACATCACAAGCTTGAGGAGGTATTGGCAAATATGTTTATTCAAACTATAAAAAACTAATACTAGAGCTAATAAAAACTAAACTAAAACTAAATATTAAAAATGCAATAATACCTAATAAAAACTAGCAAATTCATTGTAAAAACTAATTAAAATTAACTAAATTGAAAGAAAAAGGTCATAACAAAATAAAACTAAACTATAATGAAAAATCAAAAACTATTATAACCTTGGTTATAAGTACTAAACACGCACTTATGCTATTCCCAAGGTTATTATCATGTTATTAGCCGTAATAATTACACTCATGCAATTGTCTGGGTTATTATCATGTTATCAGTAATAAAACAACACGCATGTTATTACCAGGGTTATTAATATGCTATTATCAATACTGAACATGTTTATGTTATTATGAGGGTTGTTATGTTATCAGTAATAAGCACACTTATGTTATTATCAGGGTTATTATCATGTGATCAGTAATAAACATACACACGTTATTATCAGGGTTATGTTATCAGTAAAAAATACACTCTCATGTTATCAGAGTTATTATCATGGTATTATCACTAACTAACTTGGTGATGTTTCTGTATTTTCTTCAGGACCTAAAGAAGCCGTTCGACAGGTCCTGGAAGGAATATGAAACCAAGCTGTAAGAAATAAAACCAGCTTTGTTTTTTATATGCTAACACAGAAACAGACACATCAGTTCATAAAATAATAAATAATGAGCAGAATTACTGCTGATCCATGAGCAGTAAAAGTGGAGGTTTAGAGTAGTTTCTATTTGGTGTTTTGGTTGTGTCACATTTTAAACAACGTGAATCATATTTAGAACAATTAGTGCACCAAGTGTGACAGTTTCAAGTGTTTTCATTATGTTTTAATGTGGTTTTTATTGTCTGCAGAGCAAAGATTGAGAAGGAGAAGCGGGAACACGCCAAGCAACACGGAATGATTCGGACCGAGTTCAGAGGAGGAGAAATCGCCGAGGACATGGAGAAGGAAAGAAGAATGTTTCAGCTTCAGATGTGTGAGGTCAGAACATGGTTCTGTTTTTATTTTCACTGATTACCTAAAACTTTCACTTTCTTTCTGTCTGGACTGACGAGTCAAAGCTGTCGCCTTAAAGCAACTTTATCTGAGAAATTTAATGCTGGTTTATAAACATTTACACTGTTATCATTTACACATGACACAGTTAGAAGCAGCGGAGCGATCAGAATATTTCAGCAGAAAGTGCTACAGCTATTAGCACTAGCTAATAAAATATAAAATAACCATAAAATATGAAACTAATAGTGTAAATGTTTATAAAATGGTCTTTATCTTTACAAAAAATTAAAATCAGATTGTCCCATAACACTTTAATCTGTTTATTTTTGATGATGATGATGATGTCTTTATTTTCATTGTATAAATCACTATGAAATTACATTTAAGAGCACCCATTCAAGAAGACACAAATGACAAAACATGAGGGAACAGGCGAACACGTCATGCAGCAACCAGCAGGGGTCGTGCTGCCTTTAACAGCTGGAAATACATAATAGGAAAGTTGAGTTAAAAAAATTGCTCTGATCCTATGTTTACATCAGAAACATAAGATCATATGCGCAAAAAACGACTCGCGATAGAGCAACACAGCCTGGGGCAGGGTTCAGTGGAGTCGGTGACGTTGAGGGTGGGTGTCCGTGCTAGGACCCGAACCTAGCCCCCACCAGAGTCCAGAGTCACATGATCTTATTATCTCTTGCTCGTCTCACCAGAGTTCAGAATCTCCTCCTCCTCAGCCTTGGGTTCACGGCCAGGTCCAACACGGGTGATGGGGGTGGGAGGGAATCAAGCCCTTGTTGACCTATCATCCTTGGGGAGTTTCAGATAAGCATGGCGTCGAGGCCATGTCGTTGGGAGCCGATAGGTAAACACATCTGTTTTGGGACAAAGCAGCCTTGAATTTCCTGCTGCTTTTTAGTGTCTTCACTGCATCTCTGAAAGTGGCGAAAAGTTCCAATAGGCCGAATTCGGGGTCCTCCTCGCCTCTCACCGTCTGGAGCTTCACCCAGATGTGATCCTACATGCTAGAGGCTCGCTCCTGGGCTGCAATTCTCATCAGAATCACATCCAGTTTGCGATTTATCTCCCCCAGCAACTGTCTGTGTGCTCCCAGCCCGGCAGAAACCTTCCAATACGCCCAACAGCTTCTCAACGGCCCGGACCACTGTTAGGGTCGCTTTCACTTTTTGAAATAGCAGAAATCCACCTCCGTTGATCAGCAGAAATCAGTTATCATAAATTCAAATATATACAAATCATCTACGTCTTCAATGGAAAGTGGTGCAAGACACATCAGGTTCCAGCTCCCCCAAGAACCACTGATGCGTCCCGCTGCAACCGTTCCACTCAGACAGCTTCGTTCCCCTCATTCCAGTCTTAATGTGGAAAAAATAGTGTCAATTATAAATACTTATGGAAGTATTTATAAATGTGTCTGTTTTTCTGCAGTATCTGCTTAAAGTGAATGAGATCAAACTGAAGAAAGGTGTGGACTTCCTGCAGAACCTCATCCAGTACTTCCACGCTCAGTGCAAGTAAGTCAGAAACACCACAAACATCTTTGTTCAATCACTTACTTTATTGAAGTTGTCGGATTTAAATAAATTAAAAAGGAAGAAGTAAGCAGGGTTATTACAGTTAAAGAAAATTAACTAAATAACGAAAACTGAAATTGAAAAAACATTTTAGTTAACTAGAAATAAATAAAAACTGTGATAAAATGAAAAAATGATAACTCACAAACTGTATAATCTTTTTACAAATCTAACTAAAACTAACTATAATTATAGATAGAATATCCTTAGTTTTAGTGTTTGTCAATTTATTTTGAGCTATGTGGATCTTTTTTTTAAATTGAGTAGTTTCATATTAGTTGTAGGCAGCTTATGGCACCTCATGATCCGTAACAACTCTTGTTTGCAATCTGCTGCTGCTCAGCATCATCTGCCTGATTACAACAAAAGTTGGGAGAAAGCTGCAACGTCCACTTTGGGATTTCTTTGAATATGGCTACGAGAAAAAAAAAGGCATGTGTCTTGTAGTAGAAACAGGATAAAATACGTAGAATATTTCTCAAGGGAAAAACTGCATGAATCAAGCTCACTCAAGATGGCACGCTAGCTTCTCTCAGTAGCTCCCATGAAAAACAAGCAGCAGGTAGCACCGGGTGGGAGACAACTATTATCATTGTCCTAAAATAATCACCCAAGTCCTTTGTTGGCAAAACTGAGTTATGCAATTATTTTATGAAGCTGTCGCTATAATGGACTGCTTTAACTAGCGACGAAATAGCTGTTGGTAATGTGTTGATGCATCTCAGTAATCCAGGTAAAAAATCAAAGCTGTTGGTTAGTGAACTCCCAGGAACATCACAAGCTTGAGGATGCATTGGCAAATATGTTTATTCAAACTACAAAAAACTAATACTAGAATTAATAAAAACTAAACTAAACTAAAATAAGCATTAAAAATGCAATAATAACTAATAAAAACTAGCAAATTCACTKTAAAAACTAATTAAAATTAACTGAATTGAAAGAAAAATAACAACAAAATAAAATTAAACTATAATGAAAAATCCAAAACTATTATAACCTTGGAAGTACGAATCCTGTTTTCATTTTAGCAGCAATGAAACCGTGAATCATTTAAAAGTAGAAGAAAAGTCTGATCTGTGCCCAAGTTATTAAATTCATATTTGGACTTGTCCGTCCGTCCATCGGTTTTCTTCCACTTATCCAGGGTCGGGTCGCGGGGGCAGCAGCCTAAGCAGAGAGACCCAGACTTCCCTCTCCCCAGCCACTTGGGCCAGCTCGTCTGGGGGAATCCCAAGGCATTCCCAGGCCAGCCAAGAAATATGGTACCCCCAGTGTGTTCTGGGTCTTCCTCTGGGTCTCCTTCGACTGGGATGTGCCCAGAACACCTCACCACGGAGGCATCCTAACCAGATGCCCGAGCCACCTCAATTGGCTCCTCTCAACGTGGAGGAGCAGCGGCTCTACTGAGTCCCTCCTGGATGACTGAGCTTCGCACCCTATCTCTAAAGGAGAGCCCAGACACCCTACGGATGAAACTCATTTCGACCGCTTGTATCCACGATCTTGTTCTTTCGGTCACTACCCAAAGCTCATGACCATAGATGAGAGTTGGAACGTAGACCGACCGGAAAATCGAGAGCTTCGCTTTTTGACTCAGCTCCTGCTTCACCACGACAGACCGGTACAGCGCCCGCATCACTGCAGACACAGCACCAATTTGCCTGTCTATCTCCCGCTCCACTCTTACCTCATTCATGAACAAGACCCCGAGATACTTAAACTCCTCCACTTGGGGCAGGACCTCCTCCCGACCCGGAGAAGGCACCCTACTCTTTTCCAACTCAAGACGATGGTCTTGGACTTGGAGGCACTGATCCTCATCCTGACCGCTTCACACTCTGCTGCAAACCGCTCCTGTGAAATCTCGAGATCACGATCAGATGAAGCCAATATGACCACATCATCCGCAAAAAGCAGAGATGCAATCCTAAGGTCACCAAAACGGATTCCCTCAACACCTTGGCTGCGCCTAGAAATTCTGTCCATAAAAGAACAGAATCGGTGACAAAGGGCAACCTTGGCGGAGTCCAACTCTCACTGGAAACGAGTCTGACTTACTATCAGCAATGCGGACCAAACTCGGGCACCGGTCGTACAGGGACCTAACGGCCTATATCAAAGGGCCCAAGTACCTTCCAGGATCCTGCTGAGTGTGTAGAGCTGGTCCAGCATTCCACGACCAGGACCAAAACCACACTGCTCTTCCTGAATCCGAGATACGACCATCCAACGGACCCTCCTCTCCAGGACCCCTAAATAGATCTTACCAGGGAGGTTTAGAAGTGTGATCCCCCTATATTTGGAACACACTCTTCTGTCCCCCTTTTTACAGCGGAACTGCCCCCGATGTCCTCACAATATTGTAGAGTCGCATCAACCAACCCAACCCCACAACATCCAGAGCCTTAAGGAACTTTGGTTGAATCTCATCCATCCTCGGTGCCCTGTCACCAAGGAGCTTTTTAACCACATCAGTGACCCCGGCACCAGAGATTGGAGAGTCCGACCCAGGGTCCCCAGGCTCTGCTTCCTCATGGGAAGATGTGTCGGTGGGATCAAGGAGGTCTTCGAATTATTCCGCCCACCGACCCACAATGTCCCGAGTTGAGGTCAGCAGCGCACCATCCCCACCATAAATAGTGTTGACGGCAAACCACTTTACCCTCCTGAGACACCAGATAGTGGACCAGAATCACCTCAAAGCCGTACGGAAGTCTTTTTCCATGGCCTCTCCGAACTCCTCTCATGCCCAAGTTTTTACCTCAGCGACCACCCGGTCGGCAGTCTATTTGGACTGACGATCCTATCAGCTGCTTCCGGAGTCCCACAGGCCCAAAAGACCTGAAAGGACTCCTTCTTCAGCCTGACAGCATCCCTTACCACCAGTGTCCACCAGCGGGTTTGAGGGTTGCCGCCACGATAGGCGTCAACATCCTTACGTCCACAGCTCAAAGAATCCGCCTCGATAATGGAGGCATGGAGCATGGCCCACTCTGACTCAATGTCCCCCACCTCCCCTGGAATGTGTTCAAAGTTCTCCTGGAGGTGTGAGTTGAAGCTCCATCTGACAGGAGACTCTGCCAGACGTTCCCAGCAGACCCTCACTATACGTTTGGGTCTGCCTGGTCTGACCGGCATCCTCCCCCACCATCTGAGCCAACTCACCACCAGGTAGTGTTCAGCTGACAGCTCTGCCACTCTCTTTACCCGAGTGTCCAAGACAGGCGGTTGCAGATCAGATCAAACGACAACAAAGTCGATCATCGAACTGCGGCCTAGGGTGTCCTGGTGCCAAGAGCACTTATGGACACCCTTATGTTTGAATATGGTGTTCGTTATGGACAATACAGTGGTTTGCAAAAGTATTCATACCCCTTGAACTTTTCCATATTTTGTCACATTACAACCACAAACATAAATATATTTCACTGGAATTTAA